CACCTAAATTCGCCAATATGCAAAACTTACATTGAGTGGTAAAAGTAAAACAATTTTGCGTCTGAAAAATTCCAACATTTTTCACAATAACATAAAAGTGTTACCGTATACTTAACACACTATCTTGGGGAACAAACTACTACACATAAAACCAAATTCAAAACAAACACCATTAATATAGTGGAGCTTATCTTAAAATCTTTTGGAGAAAAAATATCATCATGAAGTTGTAACGTGTTGTTAGTAAACAAATAGTTAGCATTCCTTTGGAGTAAACAAACATTGATCTACGATTGAACTTAACTTATATTTCTTATTGAGATCAGGTTGATAAGATTACAATGGAAGAAAAAAGTATATTTGCAAACCCACTGACTAGGTAAAGGATTTATAAAATGACAAAGCCTAATACTAATCTCGTTCTTGATTATGGTGCTGTTTTTTTAGTGTAATGTGTGTAGTTCCGCATTCCATAATCAATTTGAAAAATCACGATTATAAGACATTAGGTTATCAATCCCAAAGCATTTCAAAGCAATTCTATTTATCTGATCAAGTTAATATTTTGTTATTTATCAACAATTACTATAATTTGTTTAGTATACTTATTGGAGATGAGCGCAGATTACAATTTTAATTTCTTGAAAATCTTACTATTTTTTCTCAAAACGTGTTAGAACTAATCTCAATTGTAAAAAATAATCTTTGAAAATTGCCGACGCACTGTCTTTTGAGAAATTGCCTTTTGATGTCACAAGTACAGAAATAAAATTATTTTGATAATCATAACCTCTAAGTTCTGTAAAAGTAAAGTGTCATGTAACACAATACTGTAATCATTTGTCAGATAACTTTAAAAACAATAACGCAAAGTAACGGACCAATGAGGTTCAAGGATTGAGAGAAATAAAATAGAATTGTAATGCTTCAAACATTAACTTATTAGCTGTTAAGACCAATTTAATTGTTAATAAGTGGTTAGTACAATGAGTCGTTTCATCACTATCAGTGGCAATGAGAGGTTATAAACAAAATCATAACCTCTCTTAGAAGCTATGAGTAGTGATTGTAAGTAATTGAAAAACTATTGTACGTAAAGAGGTGCAGCAGCTTGCATAAATAATCTTTGCGCAAACTATTAAAGAGTGAAAATTTAAAAACGTACGTTTTCAGGAAAAAACACTTTGCAAATTTTTTCCCCCTTTTTTCAAAACTTTTATTATTTTTTTTATTTCATTAACATTTGAAGTTTCATAAAATGTCCATGGTAATTCAAAATCTTTGGTAGTTTTCTTTTTAAAGAGCATCTTTAGTAGAAAAACACAAAATCCTGTCACGACCATAACGGACGTTTAAATGAATATTAAAAATAGTTAATGTTATTTTTATAACTATATTTTGCTATAAACTAATTTACTTTTATGACCATTATACAATAAAAAGGTCACTGAGCTTTTGGTATATTTGGTCTTTCTAGAAAAAAATATAAAAAACTCAAAAAATATAAAAAAAACAATAAAATCTTTTTAAGTTTGTATAACTCCGAAAAAACTTACCTGAGACCCGAAAAATCGTTATGTTTGTATAGAGGTGTGCTTCTTTTGTGTATAAAACATTGAAATATGACGATATTTTAATTTTTGAAATTTGTATGATAGAAATCATAAACGTGATGGTCAGGGACAAGCGGTACGGTCGTGAATTGTCTGGAATAATCTAAATCTTTCTAAACAATCCTTCAATTATACTGTTAGTTATAATAAAACTATGTGTTTCAATTGAACTAAACTGTTCAGTTTACAATTATATTAAAGTTATTGTCACGACCAAACACACTATAATCCATAAGGCTGGATTGGTCGTGAAAAAAACCGCGATGGTTGTGAAACTTTGGTCGTGAAATTACGTGTTATTTGGCTCTGTTCTGGTGGTAGCCCTGCACCTCATGTTCGAGGATACAAAGTGGACTTCTAGGTTAATCTAGCAATTGAAATATCTTATAAACAAAAATTAACACCATGTCTACTTCATCGAATGACTACGTACGGTCATGGACACACCAAAATTACAAAAAACACAATCTTTCCTTTATATTAAATATTAATCTTGTAACTCCTCCTTTCAACTCAAAACGACCGGCACTACAATCCTGACGTACACCCCGAATTAGTCTCTAAAACCAACTGACTCCATCGACGCCAGGCTTGCCACTGTCGTGCTCCAAAGTTGAAAATTTTTCCCAAATGGTCGTGACGCCAAATCGAGGGACAGACTTATTTTGTTATGGTAGTCAGTCTGCAATGACAATAAAATTATAATATGCTCCTTTTTTGTAAGTTTAATAACCATTGATGACATAATAATATGGCTTTATATATTTCGGCATGAATAATTAGTCTAAAAACAGTGTGAAAGTTGGAAAATGTACCCTAGGGACACGTCATGGTCGTGAATTTCGAGACTTTAAAAATACGAAAAAAATACCTAGAACCTATTTAAAACCAAATAAATGTGTGTAACGTGTTGCCCCCGTCCCAAAAAATATTAAAACACATAATAATAAACTACAAATCCAGTAACTACGAAGTAAAAGGCCAGGGACATGAAAACGTACGTTTTTAAATTTTCACTCTAAAATGTAACACTAAAAATAATTTATTTAGTTTGCAAAATGATATTTTATAAAAAGATCTTAATCAGTTTTTATAAATCACTAGTGCAAGTACGCTTCCTGCCCTTTTGTAAAATCTAAAGCTTCTTTTTGTGTGTTTTGCATGCCTATGACATTTGAATGCTAGTGTCAATTAAATGTTATTCTCTTATTTTAGAATAGATTTTATGATTTGTGCTCTTTTGATTAGTTATAGGATACCATAGGGAACAAAGGTTAGTAAATATATGGTTCTATGGTTGAAATAGTTTCAACATTTGTTTGATAAAGAAACAATTAGTATATGATAAAAAAATCCACTCTTCATAAACTGGATGTGTCTAACATTAAAATTGTCCTTTTTTCCTAATCAAAAAGAAAAGGATGGTTATAACCCATGAGGAGTATGCTAGTATTTTAACATAGGTTTATAGGTTCTTAAATTATAAACTTACTTGTGTGTTTTCCGTTCCTGTAAGACTAACATAAAAACAAGAGGATCCCTCCATGCTTTCACTGATCAGCGGACAGTGATGAAATGATTATCAATCCACACGATTTTGTACTAAAGCAATCGTTTTGTAAACAATCAGTCAATGTTTGACGTGAATTGGGAATCACTACCTCATGGTCCAAGTTCTATTTTGTTCGTCAAGATGACAGACGTCAAGTCATTATCAAAAGCAAATGTTTGTAATAATTATACTAAACATACAGTGATCTGCTTGTTTTACTATCTTTTGTGTAACAAGGGGTTGAGTAGTTGATTCATTTTTACAATAATTTTTGTGTTATTCAAATAAGAACTTAACACAAGTATAACCTAAAGCTAATTAATTTTTTAATCAAATTATCATTAGCTGTGAGTGACTGCGCAAGAGGACTTTGGATTCTATTCTGATAAAAATGTTTTCGACAATATATACAAGTGGTAATTCTTTATATATTATGTAGTCTGCCAAAGTTGAGGTTATTTTCAGAGTTTGGTTAAAACATAATTACCTATGTTTTTATTTTTTTAAGTTTTGGACCTGATGAGGTCTCCTAACCTTAAATTTGCTTACAATGACCATTGTTCATTGGCTATTTTGTCATGAAAATGCTTTAACCTATTGACGTTGGAATGTTTTTCCTATTCCGATTTTTATAAATTTTATGTAGGTAGTCATTGAGTCGTTTGATGTCTTTTATCGTTTATTTATTTCGATAAATGTTTACATTTAACCAAAATCTGATTTTTCTGTTATTTTACAGGTTTTTATGGGAAAATTGTCGTAAAAATTCAAAATTTAAAAAATTAAAATCCCTGGGAATACCATGGACTTGTGGTCCATGGAATCAAAGTGTCCATGAATACCTACATATCAAATTTCATAAAAATCGGACCACAGGTGTGGTATGTAGATGTAGCTCTGTACAACCCCCCCCCCTTCCACAAACGCAGACATTATTTAGCAAGCCACTTTTTTGGGTTCAGGGTGACTCAAAACAAATATTCCCATCCAAAACTGAAAATTTTGAGGGAATCAAAATACTTTTCCATTTAGACTTCTATGAATAATGAGACACAGTAAAAGTAGAAAATGCTTGATTTAAGGTGCAGCTTATAAAATATTTACCCTTGCCTTAAACTTCCATCCAAACTGTCTTATTTCAACTTTTTATTTTAAAGTGACCAACTCTGTTACAGAAAATAAACTCCTCAAGAGTTTTGCACCCAACCTAACCAAGACCGGATTTGAATTCCAATCTTCGCCTCTGTCTCAACACTGGGGATGCAAAATATTTAACTATTCACCATCAATCAGACCAATAACCATAGATCATTTGCCATTGATCACTTACTGTAATAACAATACAATACTGGTAGATCCATCCAACCCCCTAGTGTAGTAGATCTAATGTTTTCTACCAAATGCAACAAATTGTAACAATAACAATAACAGTAGCTTTTTTTGGGTGATGCTTGCATAAATAGTTGTATGTGAAAGTTTTTCTTATGTTATCTGTGAGTTGTGATGGCTGATATGCTAGCCTTTTAGGATTAAGGATGCAACATAAAGCACATGGGACTAGGTTTTTAGGATTTTTGTGACAATATTTTTAGTGGAGTTTAGAAGTGTCTGAATGGGAAAGAGTCCAAACTGGCACAAGAAACATAAAACTTTAAACTATACACAAAACATAAGAATATTTCAGTCACTGGCAGCATTTTCAAAATTAATGAAAGTATCTTTTTCATCTTAGTTGAAAAGGGTTGAAAAGGCTTTCAATTATGGTAAAATATTCTTTCAGGATTAAGTATTTAAATGAAGTAAAGAATACATGTGTAAAGGTACATATAAATTACCTTGCTGTCTTGGTGTATCAGCTGTTTCTTCTGCATATCTTCCTCAGCGCTTTTCTTCATCAATTTCATCTCGATCAGTTCGTAAGCTCTGCCAGGGCTGCTCTGACCGGAACTGGAGGTGTCACTCACACTCTCCGTCAACGATCCCGAGTCAACCTTTGTCTCAACCAACAAACTCTCCAAAGATCTCAGGTCTATCATGTTAAAAGACTCCTCATTGGTATTGTTGGAGTTTTGATCCAAAGATTTACTCTTCAGGGTCGGAGTGGTCACGTAGACATTTCCGTTTTCTGGTTTCAGAGTTCCGTCTTCCATCTCGTCTGGAAGGGGTAATCGAGGCCTTGTACGAGGATCGGGGCTTCTGCGGAAGTTAGTCGTTTGCCGTTTCATCCTCAACATTGACAATTTATTGCTAAAGTCCAGCATGTTATCAATGTCTGCCAGGTAACTTGTGCCATGGAGTGATGACAAAACTTTGTAGCAAAGCTCAATAATCTGTAAAAAAAAAATATTATTTGGTTGATTAAAACCAAACTAAAATAAATTTAAAAAGTGTGTTTTGTATGATTCTGCTACCTTTCAAAAAGGCAAAAAAATTATATAACACTCAGATGTTTATGGCTTAATGATAATCGTCACATAGTGTTCAAAAAGATCTGAAGATCCTGATTTCAAGCGTGCTTATTTAAGTGCTCAAACCCAACAGAGACTTGATAAAATGACTGAAATATCTCGTATATACACCAATAATAAATTGGCTTTGGGTAACTACAAGTAGAATTCTAATGCTGTATGCAATACGCCTCACATCAGCTGACCAAACAATTGGCCATTCATGTTCTATAACATCTGGGGGTAAGAGGTTTGATGCTGTTCAAGAAGAAAGTAAGGTATCATTATAGAGTGAAAGTCTTTATTTGATAGAGGGAGAAACTTATTGGGGAGTAATAATTGGCTTGTGAAGACTCATGAATTGACAATTCCAAATTTAACCGATTAGTTTAGAAACTAATTAGTAGGTTCTATGAAAGTCCAGGTGTCAAAAGGTGTCAGTTTGATAAAGTTCTAGGATCCAGAGATCTTGTTGTTATCAATTAATAGGTAGGCAAGCATGTTTCTTTAAAACCTTTTTTTCAGCTCGTGTCCATCGCAGGGAAAATCTACGCATACCGTTAGAGAGATATTTACCTGTAGACGTGCAGGATCCCCTTATAAATTAAAATAGACTAAAAAATAAGCACAAAAAAGAATTTAAAATTTTAAAAAATTACCATGGAGGAGTTAAAAAAACCCCACATATGTTACATCCTTATGGGTAACAAAAAATAAACAGAAATTCAAAACAAATGGAGGAAATTACAATCACATGTTTTATTTACAGCTTTTGGGGTGAAAATAGAGAAACCTGTACATTACATATTTTTGGTCGAGTTTTCAACCATTGGACGGCCACTAGTATTGTATTATATTGCAGTATAATGGATATAGTTGTCATATTTATCAGTTGATTAATGTAAACCTCATCTGTGATTGCTAAATCTGTGAGGTTCCAAAATTCAACGTGGGTTCATTAATTAAAACAAATTGTGATACCTTGGTTCAGTAGGTTATCTGCCCTCAATTGATGGCTACAGTCATTTTGTACACCACAATCCTATTATAGGTCTGTTAGCATTTGTTTGGAGTTTAAACAAATGGAAAAATATTCTTCCTAGATGTACAAATAAATACTTAAGCCCACCCTTACTACAAGGGAGTATGTTTTCACTCACCCCCGCCACAGTGACGTTGAGCTGTTGACACTCCAGCAGGACGCGGCTGCCGTTGTCATCGTCCGAGGGCAGCACTCTACGCAGCTGTTCCAGCATGGCCCGTAGCTGACTCAGCCTCTGCAATGGCAGTAGTGCCAACTCTATGTGGCATCTGGCACTTACCACGTCCGTCATCAGCACCGAGTCTCGCTGGCTGAGGTAATAGAAGAGCTTTATAAGAATCTGTATTTAAAAGCTGAGATATGCTACAGCGTAAATTATTTAGATAATGTTTACAGGTATAAATCTTTTAATTTGATACAATTAAAAATTACAACTTATACTCAACTTTATAACACTTTCTGAACTTAAACACATGCTCTATGAAAAATAAGTAAAACAATACTCCTAGTAAGATATTAGTTTTAGAAAATATTCTAAGAAAGTCCAAAACAATTTTTGTTTAGAAAGAGAGATTTTAGAACTAGTGATTTCTTCAAAACAAACTGTTTTCTGAACTTTCAAAAATGGAGGTAAACTTTTCCCCACTTCACATCAAAATAACAAATCTTACTAGAAGATTAGGACTATAACCTTACAAATTCTTAACTTTTGGATTTTACTAAACTTACGTCGCTCGTCTGAAGAGTGTTCGCGCATCATCGAGGTTGTCGCAGTAGGCAACGTAAGCTTGGGCAGTTGCAGCGTTGAAGCTACTCTCCAAGATGTTGAACACTCGGCCGAGATCTGACAGTAGAAAGCTAGGTTTTGACCACTCCTCCTCCAACCTCCTGACTAGGGTGTCAGAACTTTTCTTCACTGTTAACAGAGATATTAAAAAGTAATGCCTCACCAAAACTACGGGAGTCTTCTCTAAGGAGTAACGAGGGATTGTCGAATGAGAGCTTTGTAGAATACAGATTCTTTGAGTAGAGACTATTGGATACTGAAGTAAAAATCCTATCTATATGGACCATGTGCTAGTGTATATTTAAATTTTGTAGGGATGGCCAAGTCTCAAAATTTCGGGAAATTTTAAATCTCATTACACGAGACGAGATTTCTTTTTGGCCGAGATTTTTAAACGCCTGCAGAAAGTCAATGCAATACCCGCAATACAGGAGCGTGTTGTAGTTGCGTTTCCTTTGCAAAGGCGTTCTTATTTAATTCATTCTTTAAATGTAAATATTACTTTAAATATTTTAATAATATTACTTTAATAACATTTGAGAAGTTTTGTTAAGTGTAAGCAGTGTGAGGAATGTTTTATTACTATAAAAAGTCAAAACAAGTAACTATTTTATAAAAATTAATATTGCTTTTATTTTATGATTTATTTTATTTTAGGATAAGTTGAACTCTATCCTAACTGATATCACTATGTTTCCTAATCGTAGGCATTTTTAATAAGTTAGGTGTGGTTAATAAAAAAATGTTATGCTGATGTTTTTTAATAAAAGATTGTAAATATTCTTGCCTATTATCATTATTTTTGTATTTAAACAGTCATCTAACAATGTTACAAAATCAGGTAAAAATTTTGAACGTGCATTTCCCGTTGTGTATGAGAAGGGAAATCCCGTCTCGATCTCGTCTCGAAATTTTATGAGAAATAAAAAATCTCGTCTCGTCTCGAACTAAAAATCCAATCTCGTCCATCCCTTAAATTTTGTTTATTCAACAGAAATTAGCAATTTTGATCAGCACAATCTATCGGTGAGTCACACAAACTACGACGGGTTTGATTAAAAACTCGTGACAACTTAAACATGGGGATAGAATGTCTAGCTGTATGTATCAATAGTCAAAAGTAGAATTAACGCATCAATGATAAATTAAATGTTAAATGTTAATGTTAATGTTAAATTTTAGCTAGGCCTACCTGTGATTTTTTGATTGATTAAGGTAGTTTTAAGGGACTGACATAAAAACTCAAAGAAGCTTTTCAAACTAATCATGTTTGGAATTGGACAGTTCCCTTAAACTACCACATTATTCTTTTTGTGTCCTTTTCCCTTTTTAGGCACAAGTAAAGGAACTGATCAATGTGAGTTTTTTTTAATCACATTTCTGCACAAGCGATTCAAGATTTGGACTTAATTCCTCAAACTCAATTGTTCAAAACCTCAATTTCATTTGTTCCTCAATTTATTTATTACTCAAGGGAGCGATGCACACCTAGGTACATATTTTGTATCCAAATTTGAACGCAAGATGAGTATAAATAAAATGTAGAAATGATCTGTGCATCTTAGTTACCTCTCAGAGAACATCCAATGATGCTTCGTCTGTTGAACAAAGGTAGAGAATCCTTCCATCTTACAGACGCTCTGGCCAGGTCTACCAACCTACTCAGCTGATGGTTGTAGACTACTTCGCCAACTATCATACCTAACATGAGCTCATTACTCTGCAGCTGCTGTTCTGACAGTCCTTCTGGAACATTTCAGAGAGGTTATATTTTAAAAGAGATCTGAAGAGGGGTAGTTGAACACATTAAGCCACATTCTGTGCCCACCCAACTCCTCTTCCCTCATCTAGTGTCCATTGTTCATCATCAGATTTGATCTTCGTATTGCAAGAAGAATTGGAGAAGAGAGAATTCATCGAAATGGAGAGGGGAGGAGACTGTGAGGAAGACATAGAAGAAGGTGGAAAGACCAGGGAAACGATGTGGTAAACAGAAGAATGAGATGGTAGAGGTAGGAGAAGGAGGAGAAGGTGTGAAGGGATATTCATAGATGGAGAGGCCAAGACAATGACCCAGACCTGGGAAAACCCATATCAGAAGAGAATTATGTATGTTGGCATAAATACGGTAGAATTTAAAAAATAATGGTCTTTACATATTTAATGGTTTCAAAAACACAGATAATTCATCAAATAAAGTGTCAATAGCATGAGACTGTTTACTTTGACAATGAAGTAAACAGTCCAGCTGATGTAATGAAGTTTTCAAAGAAAACACATGGTTGAATGATATTCTTAAAGATCATTTATCTTGAAATAAACCCTTAAATATGGTTTATATTCTAATCTTATCTTAAACAATAATAATTTGAGGACAGAGGTTTTAAAGCATGAGGTTTAATGGTACATAAGTTAAATGATTAATATAGGGTTACAAAAAAATTGTTCAGGGGTGGGGATTCGTGCTGGCCGAATCAAAAGATTTCCAATTTAAATTTTCAATGAGTATGGTAAATTATAAATTTAATAATCTTTCAAAAACAATAAATTAAATAGGAAGGATTTTGATTTTAATTAATGGAGGTAAATAGGGTCCAAATGGATGCTTGAGGAGTCTATAAGTTAGTCTGAGTTAATAAATGGAATGTTCTCACCAATCTTCTGTAATAATAATTTTCTTCTTAGTTTAAAGGCTTAAATTCTTCTTTCTTCGGTTAACTTAATTTGGATATTTTGCCAATACTTTACTTTATATTTTCATAATTTATTTCACAACTAATATAGTTTCTATGTGCTCTTCTTGAATAGCTAAACTGCACTCTCCTTTTCATTGTTGTAAATCATATCAAGTTATGGGGTTCACATAAATAAAAACATGGTTGTATTTTATTAATAATCTTGAACCCAGATGGATGGTGTTCTGATTGGAGGATTTGTTTTTGAATAATAATTTTGGATAAGCCAATGAATAAATTTTGATAGTAAATTATATATATGTTGAGACAATATGGTTTTAATAATATTAAAAATGGACATGGATAAATATTGAAAATATAACAAGATTGAGTTTGAAAATAAAATAAGGACTATAATTATAAACATTGAATTTTGAGTCATTACAATATCCCCTCAGAAAATATGTAATTAAATTTTTAATGACATATTTTCGCTAAATGACGAAAAATGTATTTAGCATTATACAGCAAATAACAAATATTGAGATGAAATTGAGTTGAAACAAAAATCTAACAAACTTAACATTAAGGTTTAACTAGAACAAATTTCAGTTGGAATGAACATAACAATAAAATAATTCTAAAATAGCAAAATGATTACTATCCCCTCCTATCTTCTACAAACATTAAAAACATAAAATTTATTTAAGTGGTTAAAACAATTTTTTTTTTACATAATAAATGAATGGAGTGATGAACAAATGTTGAAATATGAAATGAATATGAGACATATAAGAGATGTATGATTCTTATAGGTAATATGGAATACATTAAATGAATAGTTGTCGGTGATTGCTTGATGATAACCTCTTATAACTAAATACATTAAATTTGTGATTATGACTATAGTTTAACTATTGGGACAGAGGTAACTGGAGAAATTGGCTTGTTCACTCACTGCTTGTGTGGGTATGATTTAAAATTCTTCCTTTTTACCACAATGTTTACTGGGTTAAGCGCACATTACAGTTTATCTTCTATCTTCGGTTATAGTGTGTAGATTGGTTCAATGTATTTCTTCATGGAGGATATATATGATAGGGTCCATATAATTTATTGTAGAGATCACTTATGTGGTATGTTGATGGTCCAAGTATTGGGGAAATTGGTTTGAAGGTCTTCATGTAGTTGTGGGTCTGTGGTTCTTTCTTGGGTAAGTGATATTCTTTGTACATTGTAAAATAGTTTTCTTCATTGTTATAGTAGTTATCATATGGCCTTTGGCAATTGCTTATATCTATTTGACATACTTGTCCCATTTTAATACTCATATCACATTTTAGATTAATATCAGTATCATTAATTGTTAAACTTAATTTATTTTTATTAGAATCTATCTTTAGTCGGAGTTCTGTTAATGTGTCCATACCAAATATCACAGGTTTAATTAAATTAGGTATGATAAGAAATTGAAGCCAGATGGTCTGATGTTCAATGGTTACAGGGGCATAAATGATTCTTGCAACACGTTTTGATTTTTCACCAGTAGCTGTAGTTATTGTTGTATTAGACAAAGGAAGTTCTTCAAATGGTTCAATTATTTTTTGATTCTCTTTGAAACATTGTTCGGAAATACATGTTATTGTAGAACCAGTATCGATTAATGCTTTTGTTGGGAGATTATTGATTCTAATATCTATTTCAGGGCATTTAACTGGTTTGGACACAGGAAATTTGTTATTTTCAGTGGGTTCATTTAATAAAAAATCTTGATCACACATTATATTATTTATCGAAAAATTGTTAGGGTTATTTAAAGAATTATTTTCGAGGATATTTGCTGTTGATATCGCTGTAGTTGTTATGATGTTGGTAGTTGATGGTCCTCGGCTTACATCTACAGCGACGGGTCGTTTCCCTGGCTGGTGTATGAGGGGTTGAAATTTGTTGGAGATCTTTGTTGTGTTGCTGTGTCATGTGGACTGTCTTGACTTATCATGGCACATACTTGTTTTTGCTCATTTGTAGGATATGGTTTGCTGTTATTGTAATAGTATTGATTAGGCCTTTGGTGGTATCGGTTTTGATCAGTGAGCGTATTGGTATAAGGATGCTGTCTGTGGTTTTGATTGTAGTTTTTGCGAGGATCATGTCTGAAACGGTTGTATGGCTGATATTGGTGTTCTCTAGGTTCTTGATGTTCTTGGTGTGGTGTCCGTATAGCATAAGATGATGTTTTTGGTTGATAGGCTCGATGGTTAATATCAGAGCTATATGGTGGAGTCTTGTTACGATGTGTAGGACTATTTGGTCGGTGATCCATATTATGGTAGTTCGCAGGTTTGCTCCTTTTGGGTCCATCTCGGATATCTTCTTTTTGCAGAAGTCTTTCGAATGCTCGAATTGTTGTCACGTTCTGTACTTGAATGCTATCTTGGATGAGTTGATCAAATCGTTCGCTTAACAGGATCACTATTTCCTCTTCAGTCATTTGTGGTGTAATAGACTGTAGCAATAGGACTCTCTCAGTAAAATATTCAGTTCTGTTGAGCGTTCCATTAGGTTTGTAATGTTCGGCTTCAATCTTGCTACGTACTCCTCTTTGTACTTCACGGCTCCAGTATTTCATGGTGAATTCTTCGGAGAATCTTTCCCAACTGTTAATGTCTGCCTTAACCAGTTGAAGCCATCTGGACGCTGGTCCTTCAAAACTGACGTCGAGCAGATCTTTCAGAATTTCAACAGGGTCGTTATTAGGATTTCTTTCTATCCTTTTAGTGTAGAACCGTTTAAGTTTTTGTAGATATTCATTTGGATTTATAGTTCTTCCATTGAATTTAGGGATTTGTCTTTCCATTGGGTCAGATCCCGAACATATGATTTGAATAGGATTGTCGTTCCGGATTGGTGAATGATGTTTCAGTTTTAGTGACTGTACTTCACTTTCACATTTGTTTAGAGTTTCAGTAATAGTTTTAATTTCGTTTTGTTGTTCTTGGATAAGATTATTTTGTATGTGTAATTTAGGAACAATTTCATTGTGGATGGATTGTGCATAATATTTAGCAATATTTTCACTGTCGGTTTTTGTTTGTAGCACTAATGCTTTCATATTTTGTTCTAACTTTTGTTCTTGTTGTTCCAAGTTATTAGTTACAAATGTCTGGATATTTATTTTTGATTCGTCAATTTGATTTGTGATTTGAAATTGAAATTCTTTGTTCTCTTGATTTTGGGACTGTTGGTTAGCTTTTAGGACATTTAATTCCTGGCGAAATTCACTTTGTGTTGTTCTAATGTCATTTATTTGTTCTGTTAGAATTTTTTGACATGATTTTATCTCACGGTTTAGCTCTATTCGGGTCTGATCTAATTTTTGGTTTAGTTGTGTGTTGGTTTGATCAAGTTTAGTGTTAAACTGTTCTAGAAAATTAAATATTTTGTTCAAATCCGGTTGTTCAGTAGTTTGCGTAGCTTTAACTTCAGGTGGTTGAGAAGTTGCGTGTGTGAACGTTGGTATTACGTCATTGGGACGGTTTTCAATGGTCGGAGACTCGGTCTCTAACAGCTGGAAACTTGCTTCGGGCGTCTTCGTTAACCCTCGGATGATTCCGTGTGTCGATGTGGTTCTAATATCAGCTGACTGTGAATGTGTGCTTTGATTGGCTGCGGGTCTTTGGTGTACTTCAATAATCTCGGCCCGGTCCGTTGATTCTGATTGGTCGCTCTCGTTCCGGTTCAAATCTTCGACACTGGGTCCACTGGGATTGAAACGTTCCGAACCCGAACCGGTGTTAGATTCATCTTGGCCTTCTACATAGGTTAGGTTTTCCATTTCTTCTGTTGACAGATTTGACGATTCGTCTGATTCGTGTTGTTGAAATGATAATGCAGGATAACGTCTCGGTTGTCTCAAATTATAGTGATTATCGTTATCGTTGTTAGCCATTTTGTTTACGACGGTGTAAGGGAACAGGGATATTATAGGACAAGTTGGGTATCGTTATAACAATAATGAGCTAGGCCTAAGCTTTACGACATGAAATAAATCTGTTTTACCTTATAGTAGCCTATTTATTTTTAGAATTACAAGTCGTTTAGTTAGTACCTAATATTGGTGGGACATAAGTTGTGGGAAATCGGGATTCTTAATCCTACCTAACTTCTTAAGAGTAGGCCTAACATACGTAAGTAGCCTATTAGCCTATTGGTATTTATTAGCCTATTTTAGATTGTCTCAACATACGATTATGAAATCTTTTGATTCAAGCCTATTACGTTGGGCGCCATTGAAATAAACCCTTAAATATGGTTTATATTCTAATCTTATCTTAAACAATAATAATTTGAGGACAGAGGTTTTAAAGCATGAGGTTTAATGGTACATAAGTTAAATGATTAATATAGGGTTACAAAAAAATTGTTCAGGGGTGGGGATTCGTGCTGGCCGAATCAAAAGATTTCCAATTTAAATTTTCAATGAGTATGGTAAATTATAAATTTAATAATCTTTCAAAAACAATAAATTAAATAGGAAGGATTTTGATTTTAATTAATGGAGGTAAATAGGGTCCAAATGGATGCTTGAGGAGTCTATAAGTTAGTCTGAGTTAATAAATGGAATGTTCTCACCAATCTTCTGTAATAATAATTTTCTTCTTAGTTTAAAGGCTTAAATTCTTCTTTCTTCGGTTAACTTAATTTGGATATTTTGCCAATACTTTACTTTATATTTTCATAATTTATTTCACAACTAATATAGTTTCTATGTGCTCTTCTTGAATAGCTAAACTGCACTCTCCTTTTCATTGTTGTAAATCATATCAAGTTATGGGGTTCACATAAATAAAAACATGGTTGTATTTTATTAATAATCTTGAACCCAGATGGATGGTGTTCTGATTGGAGGATTTGTTTTTGAATAATAATTTTGGATAAGCCAATGAATAAATTTTGATAGTAAATTATATATATGTTGAGACAATATGGTTTTAATAATATTAAAAATGGACATGGATAAATATTGAAAATATAACAAGATTGAGTTTGAAAATAAAATAAGGACTATAATTATAAACATTGAATTTTGAGTCATTACAATCTGTAGAACAGCTGCACTAGTAAACAAAACTTGATGGTATACTAAAACAATACAAACTAACCTGCGCTCCCAGAAGCTGTCACCTCCGAGAGTGAAGCCCATGGACTCCATGAATCTTCAGATCTCAAGCTCAACTCTCGCAAACGATGAACTTTCTCCTTCTTGCTCATCCAGAGATCCTACAGGAATAACCTCTTGCATTAGATTAGGAACACACAATACTTAAAATACATATTTTGTCACTATTCCTCTTAAAATTTTCTCCAATTCCAATAAAATCATTAGCATTAGAACAATTTTGCCAGCATACCTACAAGAATTGTAAGAAGTTTACACTATTAACAATGTAGTCAGCATTTTAATTACTGATGTTTGTCGACTAGTTAGTTTTTGTATACTTCCCCAAGTTGAAAAAAACAAAATATTTATTCAATAAACCTACACTTAGACAATACTGAATCCACTACTTAACTGCGATGCAGGTGTTTCGATGCGCAGTTATAGCTAATAAAAGCAGATAAAGATAATGGATAATCAACATTTGAATAGTGAATCATTATGTGACAGCATAAGTGAATCGAAATTATATAACGTTTCTAAAAGGAAAAGTCTTCTGTGATTTTTATATCATGCAAACCCCTTTGAGATCAAGGGATTGTTTGTAGATTTATTAATTTAAATTTTTATCATGGTTATTCCCAATCTTACAGACATAAACAACCAAATTATTCTAAAAAAGTTAGTTTCAGTTCACACAAACACAGAAAATAATATACCCACCGCAGCTCAAGCGTATTTCCTAGATTCACTAGCAGACTAAGCGTATTTCCTTAAGGTACCTGGTTGGATTTTCACAAAATGATTTCTCTAATAATTGTCAGATTATCTAAGTGATAATGCCGCAGCCCGCTTAGAAAGGGACCTGCGTGCTAATGCTAACCAATGCTAGAGGAGGTCGCTTTCTAAGCGGCCGAACTATAAGTCTAGCCTGAAGTAATGTGAAAAACAATCCCAGACTCCTGATCAAGACAGATTTGAACCCTCGACCTAAGGTACGTTCTCCTAGTTGGGGAGACAATAACACAATTTGAATTTATCGCTCATTTTATTTTCAGACCTAAAAGTATATTGGACTATTATTGATCTTCAATCAAGACTTAAAGTGATATAAAATCTAATAATAGTTGTTGATAATAAAAGCTAACAGTTGAACCATAGGTTGTGTTGGTGCCAGTTTCCTTTAAGATGCTCACAGGAAGAAACTCAATAAGTGATCTTATGTAATATGCATGAATACTCACTATAATGGCTCAACGTAATTTGTTTTCTTCAAGATAATAACATCATGTTTGACAAGTTTCAGAAAGCATATTTCTTTTAATAAATCAATATTATTAAAATCACATACATATACATTAGTTTTCCAGTTATTATGTCGATACAATGTCTTTTGATTTATAATTGGGCCTATGTTTTTCTACTATAGTGATGCAGGTATCAATTACCGGTAACAAAAAAATAAAATTAACTTATTTACCTTATCGTTGGAAACGTGATCCAGGATACATGTTGACTTGATGTTCTCTTCTACAGTGTCCAGTTCTGGAAAATATTAAAAAATATAATTTTGTATGTATATGTTCGTATACTGAATGAGTTTTTCCCTTTGATAGCTATCTGATAATAAACACATATTTAACTAAATGGCTATTTTTCATATTGTACTAGACAATTTGGGCAATTTGGCACACGCCTCTCCATGTAGTATTTGCAAAATTATGAGTAGTTCAACTGGCTTTAACATAGTAAAGTTATTTGGTTCATCAACTGCCCTGTGAACATTGTCCAAAAGAGAAAGTTGGTCAGACTTTAAATTCTATTTAGGTGTGAATCATCAGGTGTGAATGGTTATTATTTTTATATGGTTCATAGAGAAAAACAATTATAATCAAACAAATCACAACAACCAAAATTTTGAAGGCCCGCAATTTGACCTTAAGTCCTCTCTTCACAGAGTTAATCCACTTCAAAAACTAAAAGGTAACCAAGCGGTTTTAAGAAATTCTGATTTGGCTGACCAGTTGGTGCTAAAACAAAGGTTTCCTCTGGTTTATATTTAAGATCATGTAAATCTGTTTGATTTTAATTTTCTTTTAGTATGTTTATAATCTCGAGTTCTGATTTAAAAATCAGAATTAAAAATCTGTTCATTAGTTCACATTTTTCACAATTTCTTTTAATACTTAGAAATGTTATTATTAAACTTCACTATCCTCAATTAATTACGGTACTTAACTTTTAATTTATTACAAATATTATAAAGGTGAAAGTTTTGTGTGTTTGTTTATTCGTTTATTTCTTCAGTTTGTTTGTCCAGTGGCTCTGGAGTTTCCCATGTTTGCCTTATGGCACTGGTGTGGAGTTGTAAATTTTCCGATGCAGGAATGCTTGCCAAGGTCGTGGAAAAATACAGGTCGCTTACCAATATATAGGTTCTAAAAAAAACCAGAGTAGGATTGCTGTTACCATGCTTTCACGTCCCACTAAACCATTGCCTTATGAGTAATTAATATTTTAAAAGAATCAAGAATCTTGACAGCTTTTTCAACTAAACAAATAAGCTGGGTTCTAAGATATTCAACGGCATTAAAAAGTTACAAGGTTTTAACAACAGAGTGCACCACCGGTGTTTGTATTAAAATTTTAAATATATAAACAGCTCTGTACTCTGTACTTGACAACATAGAACATTAAGTAAGAAAGCACTTTTAGGGGAACTCTTCTAAACCACAGATAACCAACTTTGACTATTTATACAACTAGAGATTCCATCCCCATGTTAAAGTTATTGCCGTAGTCATTAATAGTATGGTAGCACTACGCAAAGACAGGAACAAAATCTTAATCAAATAATATTAAATGATGATCACCTTCCTATTGTAAAGTCAACTAAGTTCTTCGGTCTCGAGGTTGATGAAAAACTAAACTGGAAAACATATATTGATATTTTGATCAAAAAATTAAATTCTCTTTGTTTTCAAATGTTTGTTCTGCAAAAAATTACTGACTTACAGACGAGATTGATTGTATATCATGCATTGTTCGCTTCATCAATGCAGTATGGTGTTGAACTTTGGGGAGGTAGTTCGGGTATGGGGTCTGTTTTTAAATTACAAAAAAATATCTTAGAATCATGACAAATTCTAAACCTAGAACATCCTGTAAATCTATTTTTAGGGAACTCAAAATTTTAACACTACCATCTATGTACATTAGTAAATGTCTGTTTTATGTCAAATCTAATTTTAATATGTTGATGGAAGATCAACATATTCACAATTATCAGACTAGGAACAGAAATGATTTCCAGTTTCCTATTCATAGATTAAGTTCCTTTGAAAAGTTGCCTCAGTATTTTGGGAAAAAATTATATAATAAGCTACCAAACAGGATAAAGAATATTGATAATGATCTTAAGTTTAAGAAAGAAGTTCAGTCCCTGCTGCTAAACAAAGTATACTATTGTATAAATGATTTTTTATGTGACACTTTGTAATATTATGTAAATATGTTAATGTATATAAAATTAAGGCATTCGATTAAGTTTTTTAAGTAAGCCGAAAAATTGTATCATGTATATATTTTGCTTTTAGTTTTTAAGATGTTGACATGTCACCTGTTTTACCAGCTGTGCTGGGGAGGAAAATGTATTGTGATGAATAAAAAAAAAAAAAAAAAAAAAATAATCAAAATCGTCGTAGTTGATATGGACCACCGTCAGATTGTGCTGATCTAATTTCTGTTGAATAAAAGAACTGTTTTACCAAGTTTTAGTCACTACTAAAACTTGGTAAAACATTTCTTTTATTCAACTATTTCCAGCTATAGCAACAAAATATTATATCAAAAAAATATAGACACTAGCGCATTCTGTGACTGGCTCAAACAACTATTTTTTTTGTAAGGCTGGTCCATATCGTCCATATAGAGGGGATGTCTACTTTATCATCCAATAGTCAATGCTTTTGCTGTTAGCAAAACCGTAGCAGAACTAAAGGTATAGACCGCAATAAAAAGTAGAAAAATAACAAAAATTAGGAAACCACAAAGCATTTAGTTGTTTTACCTGTTTTGGCTTACATTGTACTACACTGTTTCTTATGTTGTATGATATTTATGACTATAGGTACTCTCACGGGTAAAGCCGAAGATACAAGCTAAGAGTACATGTATAAATAAAAAATAATTGGAAGGATTCTTCCAAGGATTATCCTTTGGAAGGATAATTATCTCTCACTTACTACAGTTTTGGTTGAGCCGCATTCTGTTCCTAAACAACACGGAGAGTCGCTGTCTGCTCCTCCATTGGTCGATGTGAGCGCTGATGTTATGTTGCCACACCTGCAGCACTGCAGACTCCCCTGTGATCCTGAGCTTACAGTTGGCAGCAATAGACTGTAGAAGCAGCTGATCGGATGACAAAACAGACAGACTGGCTGACTGGAGTGGGATCAGCTGTTCTGGACACCCATCTGTGGGACTCCTGGGGAAATAAATTGGTTTTGATGAATAACGAAACAATCAATTGTAGAACTTCTATTCTCTACAAATAATAGTGATTACAATCGTGTTATAAAGAATAAGACGATGGCGGTTTTTTACTAAGGGCCGGTTGTCCTGTAATGTACTACGATAAACAAATTGGGCTTTATTTGGTTGTAGACTTGTACAACAGTTTTTTAAACTTTATTTTTTAAATTCAACCACAAAAACATATTCACCTTGAAGTGGTGGACATAAAAAACAATACATGACTTTGAATAGCATGAAACAATTAATTATTGAAACAATAAAAGTACAAATTCATGTATCCTAATGCATATTTAAAATACATTTTCTTCAATAACAATATTTAATTAAGGTACCTATGGTCAATTATCCTTTAAGTAACTGATACAAAGCAGTTGCCACAGTACCATAAAAAGTGTGACCTTTTCTTTATACAATAGAAAAAACCACTAGTAGAACAACAATCAAGTTCTATATGAGATCAAGGTGGCATTGTAAGTAAGAGAAAGTATAATAATGTCACATGTGTGATGTTTTTGAAGGCAAAATCAAAGTAGATAACCATTTTTTCTGATATAATAAAAAAATGTGTATTACTCATATTATAGTATTGTTGAGCTGTGTAGTGACTTTTATACTCTCTACTATCAGTTAAAATGATCATAACATACGATACTTGAATCAAAATCAATTGAGCTGTTTTTTGTAAAAATTCCATTTTTCTGTTATTTTATAAGAAAATTACGAATAGAAATAAAAATAAAAACGGAAAACACTTATGAAGATACCATGAGTTGGTACCCATAGATACCAAATTAACTCAAAATCACAGGTGTATTCTATATCTCTGTAAGCATCCACACAGATACAAACAAACACAGACATCACTTGGAAAACAACCCTGACCGGATTTTTCCACCCACAAAAATGTTGATTAAAATAAATATACTTTCTCCATCTACTTTGTGTGGGGAGGGGTATGAGAAGTAGAATGAAAAGTGTACTTGCAGTATCCAAAGTCAGTGATGACTATATCTCAAGTCTTCCGTTAAAGTCATAATGTAGAACCTCAATGGATTTTATAATGTAGCAACGTTTAAAGTAAGTCTAAATAATATGTTAACAAGCGGATTGGAGAAAATGAATACAACTTGATACAACTGTATTGGAACAAACAAACACATTCCAGTATAATTAGTAGTAGAACTATATGCTTCACAATATGGTGTAAATGCAAAGTTGGCACATTTTACCATAAACTTTGGAGATCAGGGAACAATATCATTGACCTTGGGGCACTGCAAGTTAGAAAGTAGACCTCTCATAATAAAATTACATGCGTTTTGTGCAGTGGTGAAATTTGGCACAGCCAAGGCTGCAGATTTGGAATTCTTGTATTTTTTCATGAGAAAATTACTTGTAAATTTCAATTACTGTATTAAGCTTTAGCAGTTAAAATATTTAAAAAGACAGCACACAGACAGAAAATTCCGGTGTTGACAATATGGTTTAATTTCCGCACACTTTCACTTTATATTTATTTACCACACTCATGCTTTTTAGTAGTACAAATTTGACATTTAGGGAAAAAGTAAATCTAAATAAAAGGCATCGGTGCACAGTGTTGCCACAAACAAGTACCTTAAAATTACCCCAAATAAACACTTGGCTGTACAGTGTTCAAATAATTTCAAAAATAAAGTCTTCAGCTGATCCATATGTGGATGATAGAATTAAAGGAAGTGTGTACATGATATATTACGAATGACTAATTAATTCATCTATGGAAACAGAAGACTGGAAAACCATGAGAAAAAATTAAAACTTCAACACCTAGAAAATTCCTGTATCCACAATGAAATGGTTGAATACAAAAATGTGTCAAAAGATAGTAAGTGGCGCTGACATGCTACCACAACTTTTTTTAGTAGACCTTTTTTAGGATACCATCCAACACTATAAACAGTTTTCACAAGCTAGTAAGTGCCAAAGAATACTGGAAACCAATTATGAACATGAGAAGGTATGTGGGTCAAATTATGTAACTAAGCTTATCACTGAAGGTGTAACACCTGTTACACTTACAGTTTACAAACTTGCTCTAAACATTTTACAAGCTTGTAAATACAAATATTGTTATTGACTTGGGATAGTACAGGACTTGGTTATCTAATAGTTATACTGTAGCTGACATATTGTTGTTTGTTGTGCTCAGTTGGTTAGATTTGTGCTGAGTTGACCTTATGTTCCTCTCTTTTTAGAGTAGACTGTACTGTTTGTGCTTTACTTATTGATTGAAATACGAGAGGACGGGTATAGTAATTTACACATAGATTTTTTAAGTTATGGTTGTTACAATTAAAGAATAAATTTAAAAAAAATATTTAAAAATTTGTGACACATCTTCACCATAAACAGACAGAAAAACCTCAAAATTGCCTTAGCTGATTTGTTTATAATAATATATTTTACCATAAAATTATGTGTTATTATGTGTATGCTAGTTTTGAATTTTTCTCCTTAAATATTGTTATAACATTTCATTTAGCATTATGATAAAAATGAATTATGTTGCTGTCAATATTCACTATTTTGAAGAATGTAGTATTTAGAGTCATACAGTGAGTTTTGTTCTTTAATGGTTGACTTCAAAGTTTGTCTGAAGAGTTTAATCTTAAAGCATACACTGTATTTCAAACATTGAAATGACAAGTTGATTAGAAAATTAGAATGAAACGAGGAGGATTTTGTAGTGGATTAGTTTTATCTTATTTATATTGTCAACATTTGCAGTTGTAAGAGCCAAAAAGGGACAGAATTTTCTATGGGATTGCTGATAAGACCAAATTCTTACCTCCCAGGTTTGTATATATGGCCATTTTTCAACGTGTTTCTGTAAATGAATGGGCAGATGGACCTTTGGTAATGTAAAAAACTCCATAGACAGTCAGACAAAAATTTTACGTCATTTAGATGCATATTATAAGATTAATTTTGTTAATATTGCAAGTTAAATTTGTGTTTAACAAATACAATTTCTAAGTAGCCTACATTAGTAATGAAATGCTGCTGATACAGATGGTTTATCGTGGAGTTAATAAGGTGAAACATACATAGCCCTATACACAAATAAATATTATACTATAAACCCAACTTAAAAGTTTAATAATCATCACTAACCAACAGGTTCAAGTTAAAAATATCCAATATATTCTTCATCAATGACACAACTTACAAGAATATTCCAAAATCAATCAAAACCTGCAACGAAATAACAAACCTTTCTCCATAGCAACTCTCTATTTGAGTATGATAAGGGTAATTTTAGAAAAGGAGAAACCACAACTTTCAACTTTCCATCACCCTAGCTGAATACACAATCAAGTATAGTTTGATAACTCACCACTTTGAGGTTATTCCATGTTCAGTGTTTTATTGTTAGTTAGTCACAGATGTAGTGATAAAACACCTGATACAGCGATACACTCGATACAGGTGGCAGTGACAGAACCGACGAACACACACTGTTTACACCAACACAAACATTCACACTGACAGACAGGTTCGCGAGTGATTCACCATTCACACAACCGGTTGGTAGGCCGGGGAAGGGGAGGGGGACAGACGACAGACCACTGTGCACTGCGCAGCCGTCGGTCGGCGTACTGATCACCAGTGTTGCCATGATTACAATACTGAATTTCCCCAAATTACCCAGGAAATCTCGAAAATACTCGCGTCTATTCCCTATTGTAAGTTACCCATTTCTCTATATTTAGTTATTATTTTTGTATTTTACGCAAGTGGCTCTTTCGTAAAAGGAAACAGACCACATTATGGTCTGATTTCATAACTTAGACCCAGAGAACAACTTTAGTCCAAGGTTCAAATCGTGACTGGACTAATTTTAATGTCTTATATCACATTTTCTTTTCGAACTTGTAACTGTTTTATCTTCAGTTGAAGTCCATATCCACCATACGCCCAGCCATAAATTAGATTTATGAAATGCTGATGTAGCAAGGTATGCTGTACACAGTTCTAGTACTAATTTCGTTAAAGTTTACTACGAAACAAAATCAATAACAATATATAGGAACAAGATAAGTGGGTTTTAAACAAGATTAAGGATTATGTGGCTTTGGGGGGTTAAAACTTTGGTCCTTATTTATAAGAATCGACGTATTTTATGGTTCGAAACTTTATACACACCTGTCCTTGTTTACTTCTAAAGAATAATCGTAAGCAACCAGCTGATCTTCATTCAAGAAAAACAGCTGTCATTCAATAAACACACACCCTTTCTTTACTTCGCATTAAAATAATCTCTCTGATGAATCAGCGTCCGACAAACTAAATCTTAAGATAAATTCACCAAAAATACCCGCAGAAATCCCCACAAGGTCATTAAATTCCCGGAATCTGGGAGGAATACCCACAGCGCCGCTGGGCATGCGTTCTGCAGTGAAAGTGACCCCGCCGACAGGTGTTCAGGAATAGGGGTAGCTGACAGGATTTCCGAGCGGATTTGCGGATTAACTGGTCAAATAAGAAAGCTGGATGTTGTAGGTAAAAAGTAATGTCTCGCAATACAAAGTTAGGTAACGAATTTCTGTTCTTGAACTGTAGAACCCAAGATCATCTAAAAAAACTTGGTCACTGATGATATCTACTTAAATTAGATGAATTTATGGCCTCTTTCTAATGAGCTATGGTGTCATTGCGTCTGGGGACACGAACGTCTAGCGCAAGGCATGCACATTATAGTTTACTGTTGTACTATTCCGTGACTTGGGAGTGATGAACAGTTTACAGTTCAGTTGACAGTGAGTTGACTGTTTACAGCCATCAATTCATTTACAACTGTCTGGTACATGTTAAGGAAATCATAGACAACCTCAGCTGTAGAAACCAACTTCACAATCGCAATACAAGAAGAGGAGAATTTGTAAACATTCCTTTCTGCAGACTGAGCAAACAAAAAGACTGCTATCCTGTCCATTAGGCTCTACAACCATCTCGACAAGGACACAAAGTCACTCCCTCTCAGGAATTTTAAAAATAAAGTTGAGGAACGGCCTTTCAATTCCACTAAAGAATATTTTGTAGAAAGTTGATGAATGGATCTCATAAACTACTGCCATGTTAACCAATATAAACTTTTTTATTCTAAAGTATCAAAATTTTAAACTTTTTGAAGAAAGCTATCCAGTCATTACTGGTCAGCGATGGATGTATGGTATAAGGTATTTTAGTTAAAATTGATTTAAAGTTGGTGGGAAAACCAGAAACCAACAACAAACATTAAAACGTCATATCCAAATCGGATGAACTGACCTTAAAATTGTCTTAAGGTTATCCAAAAAAATGATAAATCCAGGAGAGAATATGTTTCGTCCAACTTTACTTGAACCAACCTCAATCTTGAATTGAATTATTTTATACAAATTAAATGAGAATGATGTCTACTTCATTAAACAGTCTCGCATTGGGACAACGAGGTAGATGTTGGGACAATATTCGTGTTTATAGTTACCTAGGGATCTGTCCATTTGTTAATGGTTTTTTTTCTGTCTTACGGTGGTACGTATATTTTTTGCATTAAAACTGTGTGTAAAATATCTTAATGAATATTAATTTTCCGTTTTATACTAATCTAATCAAATCAATTACCGTACACTATCAAGTAAGTAATAATTATAATTTTGGTCCTTCGAGCCGGATTATATATGTAAAGTACCGTATGTTATTATTAAACATGAGTTTAAAGCCTTAATTATTGTTGGAACAGTAAAACATTGATAGCGAGTATCTTATGGAGATCATCACGTAAGTCTTGTTATTAAGGTAGACTTATTTGTGAGGTTTTTATAAAGAGGGATTAAGGCTCACATGAAACCAAGTGCATTTGTAAGTGACACTTATTGTCAAGTGTGACTATATAACTATTGAGAGTCGTGTTATTGAGATTTTAACGTATTTCACTATAGATTGCAATTTTATTCGTTACACGACTTTTCTTATTTTGGTAAATTGTTGACTGATAATTCTGAATCTACCAATTAGAGGACACTAGAATCCAAATGAAAACTACAAATACATACAGTTAATTTAATAGTGCTGTTAAAATGAGCCACATTAGATAGTATTAAAACGAGGGTTTGGACTGTCCCCTTGAAAAAAATAAAATAAATACCAATGGCGTGGATAACACATAAAACCAAAAGTCAGAACTTTGATGTAAGATTCCAACGGTTATTTTGATTGTAATAATCGATATTCCATATTAATCAATCATAACGATATTCAAGATTTTGATTTGATTCTATAATAAATAATAGTGCACAGTACACACACTGTTTAATTTATTTTTGCTCCCCTCACGTGGTTGAGTTTGGGTTAGGTTAAGTAAAATCAGTAATTCAATTTGTGTAGATTAATCACTCTAATTGAAAACAGTGTATGATATAGTTTTCGTAAATAGACCAGTCTAGAAAATCACCGATACTTTTTGGTTTGATGTTATTCGTATATACAGATTCTGCTATCACATTTGTCAAAAAATCCCTTATTAATTCTAAACAAAATTCATATTAACGAAAAGTTTTGTCCCTTAAAATAAATTGTATAACTTAAATATGTAAAATTTGTGAATCGTTGAACTCTAAGTGTATTTTGGTGTTTTAGTCAACATAAGGGGTTTTTACCTGTATATGACAATTATTCCGTTCCTAAGGACGACCCAACGCCACGAGAAGTATCCCTGGGCCATCTCTATCTGCAGCCATCCTCTAGTGATAGTAGTCGGTTCCTTCTGCATCCTGAAAATACACACAACACTCTACACTGTGGTTCTATCACATCCTGGACATATAAACATGTAGTATATACATCACAACACACACTACACTGTCAATTCTGCATCGCCAGTTCCGGAGTTTAGTTACACCGGCCTGTGACCTCTGTACATTGCACTCGGATTCTGAGTTCCCGGTTCTCAACATTCTCAGAAATATAGTCATCCCATCTCACATCTAGAATCTGAAATGCGTAGTTCTGTGGTGTGAGGAACTTGTATGTTGGATAGTACAAATACAAAAACTGTGATGTCATTAATTTGTTACCTTTTTTTTGCTAGTGAATAGAGGAAATATTTACTCAATTGTATGGAGTGATCCTCCTTTCTTTTAACCTTTTTTTAATACGCCATCCCCTAGAATTTTCGAAACTAAAAGTTTTTGTTTTGAGGGTCAAAATTTACAACCACTAAGTTTTACCCCGTTCACAACCCGATCAACACAAAACACGCTGGTTCGAGTTCCTTTGAATAAACGTTCCAAATTGCATAAAACTCAGATTATTTAAATCCAGTCATTTTCGTCATACGGTCAAAATATATATACGAATTCGAATGAATAGTCTGTTGAACATTTGTGGGTGAAAACCTAAAAGTAAATCAGTCCCATTGCCTTACGATGCTACAGTACCTACTATAGCTCTACTGCAGGGAAAATTCGCTATCATATCTCAACATTTTATTTGGAATCGCGATTCCCTTCCCTAGCTCATAAAACTGTCCTTCTCAAAAAGATCCCATGTCATGTACTCACGTTAAAACAAGTGATTCGACAAAATTCACAGCCTTGTCTTCTTCAAATCGTCCTTTGCTGCAGTTAATCCAAGTTAACATTAAACAGCTGATTACCTGAAACCTCAAGATCAGCTGATATGATTGGTCACGTGACAAATGAGCGTGTAAGGTCTTGTCGCAGATTCGCTCGTCTCCTTCCTTGACCTTCAGACTCTGGTCCGTGGATAATGACGTAACCAGCTGATTTTGGAATTCTAGGTAGCTGTCTGATTCAGCAAATAGTGACAAGTCTACTGTGATTAAGGATGGAAAAGGTATTTGTAAAAATACCAAAAATACTTATGTATACGATCCAGTTTGATGACTTATGAAACTCGATAATTTCGGGAAATACAGTTCAGTGACATATTATTCTGCGAGATTGCATTTATTTTTATTTTTATTATACGTAAACTAATTTTCGAATGCATTATTTTCCTCTAATTGTATAAATATAGTGTTGAATTTGGAATAACTTTTGGGTTTTACATAGTTGAAAGTCACATTTGAGATTTTTTACATTCTCAAGAGTTTATAGTTGTTTTTTAGGAATATGTTAATTACGGTACACAAGCGACATCTTTTTTTCCTTTTTTTTTGAATTTTTCAGAAGAGGACTGCAACTTTTTGAACTGTGGAATAACCACAGTTTAGGTTAGTTTATAGCTTTACTCACACCTCTTTTACAAAAACTCAAAAACCACCTTACCGAAATTTTAGTTTTCCACAGTATATAGTGGCAGCCCTGTTCTGAAAAAGACCCGGGAAACTTTTCCAAATTGGGTTTCGCTAGTCTGGAAGTCAATGCGCTGGACTTCTGGTGACGTTGGTTCAAATCCCACTAATCACCAATATGGTACGACACTGCGATCGACGATTCGGAACCTTCCTTAGCTGTGCCATTTATCGAGGA